AGAGAACATGGTGTCGAAGCTCAGGCGAGACAAGCTATCCGGGACTGGGTGTGTCAGATGTCGACATCTTGATAAGATGGCTGGATTGTTCTGACATGTGTGGGTGGTCAGCCTGGTTTTATCGTGTCCCACTTCGAGTCTAGATCATGTGTGTCTAAGATACGAGAGGCTTGCGTGATAGAGTGCCAACCAGATGGTGGACTATCTCTCCCCCTTCACATGCAGGGACAGGGGTTGACGGAGTGGTGAAGCATGTGAAGCGGGCGTGTGTGGCTCGCCTGATCGTTCCGACAGAGGAAGGTCCCCTCCATGGAAAGAGCTGATTCCGACGAGCATCCATTTCGGGTATGATTCAGCTCATTTTGCATGATCCTGTATGCCACGGTGTCTTTGCAGTGATGAGTGAAGTCTCTTTGGTCTCTACTCGTTCATCGGCGAAATCATCACACCCATGACGCAAGACGTTCCGCTCTGCTGGGATTTCATATTTTGTCGCAAAACTCTCGAGAAGCGAAAAGGCAGGAAAATACATACAGCATATCCTTATAGGATCCGAAAGCTTGAACCAACCATGCCAGGCCGGTGAACCAAGGTTGCCCCCCCAGGTCCGATTTAGCGCTGTTCCCGATCAGGCTGGATCTGACACCGGATAATAGTCTAGGGCATGAGGCGGAAGCCCTTTGAGTTTTGCTGATCTGCAGATTTTAGCATGCAAAAGGAATGCAGCAGAGAATTGTGGGGGTATGATATCACCGGATGTATCGGCCATCGGATGAAGAAGTCGCCATCGCACACATACTTTGACACAATGGTACAAATGCCGATCGGGGATCTGGTGTCGGGGTCCACTGGATAAGAGTCTAGTGTGAAGAATGAGGACATGGGGTGTTCATCGATGATGATAAGATGGAAGATTGAAGACTGGTTCTAGGCTCTTTGAGCAATAACCCGCAATGGTGTTTCAGTGAACAATAGAATACTGAGAGAGTAATTCCCAACTCCATCCCGTGACTGGGGGCGATCGGCAGCACCCGCTGGAAAGCCGGGGGACCAATCAGACATCCGGGGAATGCTGCCTCGTGACGTCTGGAGAGAAAGAGTGGCCATTTTCACTCTTTCGGTCATTCCTGGCAGAAGACCAGGCAAACTAAAATGCATGGATCCGGCTGACTGACGGAATGGGCTGGCCTTGCCTCGTGCCTGACCTGCTAAAGACGCGGCGCACGAAATCTTGCGGCTACATCTATCTATTTCCTGCTGTTGCTCCGACTTACATTCCCAACATCACCAACTTCCTCCCTTCCTTTCACTTCTTTACTTCTGCCTATTGGAAGTACCTTTCGAATGCTTTCTCGGGCCTAATCCGCTAAGATCTCCGATTTGCCTTCCCGGTTTAGGCACCCTCTCCAATCGAAACTTAGTTTCCCCTCCATCTCCGCACCGATGCGAGCCTGATGCCCTTTGAAGCCGGTCATGTCCATCCTGCATGATTCCTCCCTCGTTCGACCCCAGTGTCATGTAAAGGGAAAACCGCGCTCCCTGGAGACGCCAAATAAACCCCGTCGCTCCGTCCTCAAGTCCGTTTCTCTCCCGTCGCTGTCGGCCGTCGTCAAAAACTCATTGACATGGGCGGGGGACACGTGGGGTTCCTATGGGAATGGCCAGTCCCAGAAGGAACGCAGACTGCGCGCTGCTGTGGATGAGCGGAAGGAGGCTTTGTATTTCAAGAAGCGCAATGTGAGTTAAAGATAGCTTCACATGATTCAGGATTAGCCGGCATGGCTGTTAGCTAACGTCTTTCAGGCTGTGACCTACGAAGAATGGCGAGACGCTGCGAGCGAACTGGATGAGTTGGAGAATAACTCTGCCTGGAAGGAAACGTTCGAGTGCCCCGAATATGACCCTCATCTCGTGCTCGATCGTCTCAAGCAGCTGGACGATGCCCGAATCAATTGCGATATCAGTCGCATGTTGTTCCTCATCCGCACGTCCCTGAGCCGCGATCTGGGAAACATGAGCAACGCGTCTCTCTACAAGCATGCTCATCTTGGAACTAAGAACCTCATCGATCAATACATCGATACCGCTCTGGAAACAATCTTGTCTTTGGTTGAGCTGGCGGATAAAAACCGGTGCGATGTGGTGGAATCCAGGTATATCCTGGACCAGTTGCTCGCAGCAAGACAGGCTTTCGGGCGAAGTGCGCTGCTCTTCTCCGGGGGAGCCACTTTTGGCATGAATCATATTGGCGTACTAAAGGCTCTCTGGCAAGCTAACCTTCTGCCGCGAATCATCTCCGGTGCGTCTGCGGGCAGCATTGTGTGTGCCGTCTTCTGTACTCGCACTGAGGATGAGCTCCCAGCTCTCTTGGATTCCTTTACAGAAGGGGACTTTGCTGTTTTCGGCGAGGGTACTGAGGAAGACACTATTCTTCAGAAGACAGCCCGGTTCTTGAAATATGGGTCATTTCTAGACATTTCTCACCTAGCCAAGGTGGTGAGAAATTGGTTGGGCGATATCACCTTTCAGGAGGCATATAATCGAACTCGACGCATCCTCAACATTTGCGTTTCCAGTGCTGGCATCTACGAGCTACCCAAGTTGTTGAACTACATTACCGCGCCCAGTGTGTTGATCTGGTCTGCTGTGTATGTTACCCTTACACGATTCCGGCTGTCTTCAAAACCATAGGATTGATGCTGACTTCAATAGGGCCGTATCATGCTCCGTCCCGGTAGTCTTTTCGCCGTACCCTCTTATGGCTAAGGACCCTCTGACAGGGGAACCAGTTCCATGGAGCGACCTTCATAGGCAATATATTGATGGCTCCGTGGACGGTGATCTCCCTATGACTCGTCTTTCGGAAATGTTCAACGTCAACCACTTCATTGTATCGCAGGTCAATCCCCATGTCGTTCCATTTTTACCCAAGGATGATGGGCCGGATCCGTATACGGAGAACTCTTTCACCGCTTCTCGCTGGATTCGGAATATCACTTATCTTGCCAAGGATGAGATTCTACATCGGATGACAGTCATGTCCGAGCTAGGGATCTTTCCCACCTCTTTAACCAAAACAGTTTCGATTGTCAACCAGAAGTATTCTGGGGACATCAATATATACCCGGAAATTCAGTATTCTCGGATTCCCGTCATGCTACGCAATCCGACGACGGAATTCATGCTTGAAGCATGCCTAAGCGGCGAGCGGGCCACATGGCCTAAGCTTGGACGAATACGCAACCACTGCGCCATAGAGTTGGCCCTGGACTTGGCCATTCAGAAAATGCGGGCTCGGGTGGCGTTCTCCCCGAGTCGCGTCCACGCAAGAACAGACAGCATTGCTGGCCATTCGATCGAATCCCTAGACAGCAGTGGAGGCCGAGGACGATTGTTGAACCGGAGAAGCTCCTATAATCATGAAATCGAAAAGATCAAACATGCCCGCCACGATTCGGGCCGGCGGACAAGACCATTCCTACAAAGGTCCCGCAGCGTGTTGCTATCGGAGCAAACGCACCGAATCGACTCTGTGGCCTCGGCCAGACTGGACCAAGCAGTGCAAGGGCGCCGTCAAAGCAATCCGAGCCAAACTTTCAACACCGGGGACGGATTCTATAGTCCTTGTTCTGAGAGCGACGAACATAGTGAGGAATCCTCCCCTCCGACCCGCGTCCCGCTAGAGAGGCATGTTTCATGGGAACCGTCATCATCCGACGACCCGCCTTCCGATGATGCCACCCCTAACGGCAGCGCACAGTCACCACATCCATCCTCTCCCATACATATAGGACGGGTGACTTCGCAGCGAGCTCCTGTATGGCCTCCAGACCTATCTGCGCACGCGATGCCAACGACACCTGAGCCCTCGTTGCCACCTTCCCCTCACCACCTCCGGATGACGCCCAAAGCCTATGTCTCCAATCCCACTTCCCGTAACTTCTACAACTGACCAAATATATATTGCGTGATCGCTCATATTCAGTTGTGACGTATGTGCTGGAACACTGCGATCAACAGAGGACATAATGATGGTAACCTTTCTTTCAGTGTACATACTATATATTGATGAGGACATTTTGGCTTGGCCGGATTTACTAGCTTATTGGGCAGTCCATGCGTTAGCTCATGACAGTGGGTCTAGACGGGGATTGCATTTAGAATCATACGCCAGGACTGGAGTTCTTTTCTTATGGGGGTGATTGGATAGACATCACGCCTGGGGCTTAGACTTACCTTTCATTTTAGAGGTTGATTCGCTGTTGGCTACATCACTACCACAGAAATAAAGTACCACCGTACTGCCCGGTTCCTTAGCATGCCGGACACGAAACTGTCGTCAACACCCGTGGGAGATTTTAAAAGATGTTCTTCTCAAGGAATCTTACCAAATCATAGCCCCCATTATAGGGCTCAGAAATTGACCCTTCGTTTGACTCAGCAATACTACTACTACATATGTCTTGAATAGAACTCAAAAGATTCATTCATAAAGGAAGACGCTTGGTAACGAAAGTAGCTACAACTTCTTCAATCCATCCGACGAACCCACCGAGCATAGTAATAAACAAGCCACACACACACACACACATCTATATAACCATTCCAGAAAGATATATCAACGTTCAGTTTCCCTTGCCAGGTTAGTAAATGCAGTACTGGTCACTAGACTTGTATTTGATAACATGTAGCTGTGTTACTCCGTTGCGCGAGATTAAGTCATTGGCAAGGAGTATATGATTCCAGAATCTATTGATTGAGTTGGCAGTTGATAATAGATTGAGCCGGGAAAGGAATGTTGGGGATACTTATGTTAATTGCACTTGAACACATGATCCATTTCTAGTCCGTTTGGGTAGAAGAGGAGTCACAAAAAAAAAAAAAAAAAAAAAAAAAAAAAAAAAAAAAAAAAAAAAAAAGAAAGAAAGAAAGAAAAGAAGGAAGAAGAAACCGAAAATAACAGGAAGCAGTTGATTTGTTTCGAAAACACCGAAAATGGAATCATCTATATGCTTGTCAATAATAGTACCTGCCACTGGTTTCCTTCAAATAGGGACATCATTCCATATGGTAAGAAAGTAGCTAGGCTTGTAACAGCAGGCGAGACACAACCTGGCTACGAATGGTCAAAGGGCTGTCCGAATGTCGGCAATGCGGCTTGCGATGTTGTAGTTTGCGTGAGTGATGCCATGGTACCAGGTTGCGAGAGGAATTGAGCTTGCTGCGGTTGCTGCTGCTGCTGTTGCAATTGCTGCAAGGTAAGGTTGTCGCTGTTGGTGTTGTTGTTTGGCACATGGGTTTGGGGTTGCAGGGCCAACTGTGGACTTGGATGCTGCTGTTGTTGTTGAGGTTGCTGCTGCTGCAACTGTTGCAAGCCATAGCTACTATTGTTACTGCTGTTGCTGAGCATATGAAATTGTGGTTGCAGGGTCGATTGTGAGCTTAGCTGTTGCTGCTGTTGGAATGGCTGACCGAGTTGCTGACCCAGTGGGTTTGGCATGGGCTGCATACTGGCTTGGAAGTTCTGAGCGTTTCCCATATAGGTCTGACCACCGCCCAGGCCTCCCATTTGCTGAGTGCTCTGGTTCCCGAATGGTGAAGATGCCGATTGAAGGATACCTCCTTGGGGGTATGCTGGCTGAAAGGTGGTGCCTTGCTGAGGAGGCTGCGAGTAGAGCCCTTCTGATGGGTTGGAATTAAAATCGTCTCGCCGGATCATGGCGTCTCGGTTACGATCCGCGTCGTCTTGCATATTCTGAGTAGTCCAGATATATCTACTAAAGTTGTCCGACACCGTGAAGACCTTATGAAAATAGGTCGTGCTGAGCTCGATTTTAGATCCCCCTTGAGTGTTGTATGAGGCCAGGGCAAGGGCACTCTGGAAGGCATTGCGAATCTGCCGGCCGTTCCAAACAGGACCCGACCCCGGACGCAGTTGAGCATTGAAAATCCGATTGGCAAAGCTGGTTAACTCGCCTTTGTTGACGACAATTCCCGCACGGCCCGCTTCGTCAATGTGACCAGACCAGATCTCGTAGGTTTGTTGCCAGTTTAAGGGCGGGTAGTAGAGAGACATGTGAATGCGAGATTTGAAGGCTTCATCAAAGACTCCCACTCGGTTGGTGGTGAGGAATAATACCCCCTCGTAGTATTCCAACGTACGGAGGAAAACTAACCACCCCAGAGTTAGCGATATCCTGGACTTAAGTTTCAGAGAAGAAGAGTTCATTCTACCAGAGACAAGGGCGTTTCTTTCAATGTCATAGGCCCGGCGTTGAGCCAAGAACACATCGGCTTCATCAAGGAGCATGATACAACCCCAATCCTGAGCGAGACGGAGGATTTCTTTGAGCTTTTCTTCCACTTCACCAGCGGTGAGCCCAAGGTCCCCTTCAGCAAGTATTATTTCGAGTCAGCAGCCGGGGTATGCTGTCGTTGTTGAATGCACCTTACCACATGTAACAGGCAGCAGAGGTCTACCACTGCTTATGGCAACACATTCTTCAGAGTTCACTACCGTTAGCATTGAGTTTACTGAGTGCTGAGGAGATTGCCTGCCCCACCGGCCGTAGATGTTTTCCCAACTCCGGGAACTCCGTGCAAGAGAATAGTCACCCCATTTCCTATCCAAGCCATTAGAAGGAAATACTAGCAAGAATCGGGGAACGCGTGAGGAACAGATATCCATACCCTTGTTCCTCATCAAGTCGAAGTGAACACCCCTAGACTTTTGTCGGGCAAAGTGCGAGTGGATTAAAGATTGGATGAGTTCTTCGTGCCCGTTTGGAAGCCGTAGCTTGAGCCATGGATTCCCTGCGGTTTCCCTTTGGCGCAGCTGCTCCACCTCATTTGGTCCTCGCCCAATTCGGAGACAAGCTATTGGACAAAAGTTCACCTTGTTAGCCATGCAACAGCTCTTTCAAGCAGGGGCATAAGAACATACCCCATCGCCTGGTAGACAGCACAAAGGCAAAGACCCGGTCAGGCAATATCAACAGATCCTCCCCCGATGGCCCGCCCCCATGTCTGGCCCAGGATTCCCACATCCGTGTCTGAGCCTCCATGAAATCATCCGTGAGCCGCTTATCCCATACCCCGTCATTATCAATTCCTGTCACCAATCCGAGCTCGGCCTGGTCCGTTTTTCCGAATTCGTGATTGCCGGTCGTCGGGCGCCACGACGGGATCTCGTCAAAGGCACGCGCAAAGTCTACGATAACATCGCTGTCGATCTGTTCTGAGTAGCAGGAGGCGCTTCGAGGGATCTCGTCGACCAGATCTGTCAACTTCTGTCCCGTGGGAGTCAAGTAGTGACACCGACCACTGTAATCCATGTGAAGGGCTTCTCGTGTGCAACCGACGAATTGCCTCCCTCGGGTCATCAGGTACTGTTTGTCCGTGAGCCCTTCTTGTTGAGCGATAGAAAGCGGGAGAATGGGGAGGTATCTGACGGCTTGGGTGCCATCAAACCCACTAATCTTGAATTGACGGAATATCGGGAGAAATTGGCTGCCATCAAAGTCCAAGTAGAAGCAGTCCAGAACAAGAGGGGCCCATGTGCCAATACCTTGCTCCTTTACGCGCTCCGATATTCCCATGTAGCGGCGGCCACCGGTTCGTTGTACCACCTTCCATATCTTTTGGGGAGCAAAGCTGCCTTTGATGTATACCAGCGAGCCTTGAGAGAAGAGGAACCAGAGGTCGACGAATCGTACCATTTCTGGAATAGCAGCCAGCTGTGCTTGGAAAGGATGAAGGGTCTCGTCCATCCATTGCGTTAGGCATCGAAAATTCAGCAGCAAGTCTGTCAGTTCAGGAACATCCAAGAGCGCGACACGTTCTGCAGCCTTTATCTGAAGGACCATTTGATCAACTGGGGACGTTTTCAAGGCTTCGATGTACGCTTTTTCGGGCAAATCCTCCTGTTGCCTTCGATAAAACTCCAATTCCTTCATCTGACTCCGAATAGCTTTGTCAAGATAAACCAGCAATTTGAATGGTCGTAGAATCATTAGACCAGTGTTGTCATGGACGTTCCGTTCCTTATTACAAAGGTGAACATTAAGAAATCTGGAGAGCCCCCCGGGGTTGATGCAGATGCGCTCTGGCAATGCAGTGAGCGGAAGACCGTCGTCGGTATCTTCCTCCGTATGGGGTATACCATCCCAGTAGTTGCTGGCCATTAGTTGAATATCGCTTGCTGAGGGCTCATTGTACGGAATTTCCAGGAGATATTGCTTAGACGGATGGCCGCGTACCTTGGCCGCTTTGCCCCAAGGAAGATAACGGGCTTTTGGAATGCTAATGTACGTGGGAGAACTTTCCTTCTGCTCCCCGTACAGTAACCTAGCTAAAGAAGCATCCCTCACCTCTAATTTGTGCATCTCTTCCGAAAGAGTCGAAGAGATTTTATCTAACATTTCGCGCCAGTCATAGCTGCGGATTTGCCTAATATTATCCGCCTCAGTCTTCAACGTCGCAAACTGATAGACGGAGAGTCTGTTTTCCTTGTACCACTCTTCCACCGCAGCCCTAGGGATTGTGTTCAGGTTGGATTTGTCGGCTTGCGACGAATGATCCTCTGATTCGGTCGCCCGGGGATTACTAGATTGCAGTGGGAGATCCATTTGGTTTGAGATAATGGAGTCAGGAACAGTTGCGACCCTCATATCCGCACCAGTATTCTGCTCGGTCAAATCAGCGCTGATCATATCGAATTACCTCTGTTGGGTCCGGACAGGGCATACATCTTCCGTCCCCGTTCCTGCCGTCGTCATTATATCGAGATCTCTATTCATACAGACAAGTTGACATTGATACCCAGTCGGACAGTGGTGCCAAGATTAATTTATTGGCAAGACACCCACAGCAGTATTTATAATCCGGTCGCAGATTCAGCTGAACACTTGACGGTACCTGTAGAATAAGTTCAGCTTGGTGGAGACTGCTTCATCTCTTTAGGTGATTGGCAGCTGCCTCTCCAACAACAGCGAAGGTGAAATTGGATGTGGAGATGGATGCAGTGCTAAAATGATGCTAACGTGCCGATCTATCTCAACCAGCCGAATGACTTGTCCGCTAAGCCTCCTACAAGGAAAAGCAATGAATAGATTGGGTAGACATACATACATGCGGTCGACAAAAAGGCCCAATAAAATCTACAGCTCTAGCTGCACGCACATATATGCACCCGTCTTTCAAATGTCTGAGTATCTAGTCTGGCCCACTCGTGATCCGGAGCTGATATGAGAATCCCAAATCCACCCACCGACACGATCAAAAATAACACCCTCGGCCTATACCTGAGCCTGCATAAAATAGGAGACGTAATGCTCACAGTCACACCCTGGATTCAGCATAATGCTCCCCAAATTGACCCCGCGTGGGCGTTTGCCGAAGCCCAGCGCAAAAGGCAGAGAAATATTCCCGACCCTCCACCGCGGTGAGTAGTCAAACTGAGGGATCTCACTTGATGCTGGGACTCATAGCATTTCTCGCAACTACTCAGGGTCCATGGCCGAAAGGAGAAATTCAAGTCTGTCATGAAGGATTTCTTCGCAACTACCAAGGACAGTCAGGCCAAAGATATATTTGAGCACACTCATACGTGGGAAGAAGTTCGTGCCGAGGCCCAGAAAGCGCTGGAGCTACGATACCAGGAAAATAGAAAAAAGAACTTTCTCCGAAGATCAATTCGAGTCATGGGGGACGTCACCTCTCGATTGGAATTCTTGACAGCGCTGGTTCCCAGCGGAGACTACATGGGTGTCCTATGTGGAGGCCTCAAATTGGTCTACAATGTACGTGTTATCGCATCTCTTTATTGTCGACCTCATTGCATTTACCAGTGATTTGACTACTATCAAACACCTCTGTGTTATTAGATAAATTGCTTAAGTCAGTCTTGATGTAGGCAGCAAACCGTATGAGCACCATTCGTGACCTCATTCTAGGATCTTTGGATAGCTTGTCGCAGCCAATCGAGGATGTCTCTCCTTACTTGTATACTTATTCCTGGAGCGAGACCCTTCTGGAGAAGGCTCATGACCTCTACATATGCATCTTGGATGCGATCGAGGAAATCACACATTGGATCACCAAGAAAAGAGGAGGTAAGGACTGAGCCCTCACTTTCTCGACCCAGCATCTCACAGCCGTCAGCTTTGCGAGGTATGCTGGAAGTAGGAAAGGCAATTGTACAGCAAGATGACTATGGAGCACACCTTGAAGCGGTTATTAGTACTACTGTCACGGAGAAGGCAAATGTGTTTGAAAAAGCCGTCAAGTCCTGCTTGAGCATCGAAGTCCACGATATGGGTCAAAACGTGGTTCGGATTGGCCAAGGACAGGATGCAATAAGAGGGGATCTGAAGCCCCTGCTTCAAGCTGCAGCATCTTGGGAAAGATGTGAATCTATTCTACGAGATTACATGAGACAGATACAACCAAGTGAGTTTCATAGTGTTTCAATTCGCTGAGCAGGTGGGCACGCTTCGTATTGCTGCTACTAATGTCTCTATCCAGTACTTGCATACCATGCCGCTATGGCTTCTCAGGCCACTCGAGTATCCATCACAATCGAGCAGCTTCTCACTGCTCTCCACGTGGCGAATCCCTTACCTGAATTCAATATTGTAAACCAAATGATCGGCATCATAGCCACTGAGAGAAGGAAGATGTTACTTACCGGGGGAGCCTTAGGCGTTGGTGCGGAAGACCAGGTGACAGGTGTCCTGCGGGATGTCCGGTTCCGCAACTGGCTGCAAGGAATGTCTTCCCAAGTCCTCGCGGTCTCCAACATGGAGCAGGATATTCTACAAGAGGGGCCTGCCTCGCCGCTAACCTACATGTGCTCGGTACTATTGAAATCTCTCGCCCCAAGTGAGCCAGTGATCCCAATCGCCTTCTTCTGCCGCCAACACTGCAACACCCAGGATAGCCAGACTGGAGTCTTAGAGATGATGAGATCTCTAATTGACCAAGTCATTATTACCCTCGCCGAAGCCAACAGTCTAGATCTCAGCTTCCTGGGAGAGGAGCATCTTCACACCATCGCAAGGCAAGATGTGACGATCCTCTGCCACCTATTTGCGGAAGTGGTCAAGCGTATCCCAAGCGGGTTGGTGATCTGCATTATCGATGGTATCGATTTCCTTAGCAATTCCATCCACATGCCTTGGCTAGATGTGGTAATGCGGTTTCTTCATGATCTCATGGGGATTGTGGTGCAAAGCCGGTCGAACCTGGTGTTCAAGATATTGGTTACCAGCCATCGAGGGGCCAGTCTTGCTTCCCATTGGTTTCCTTATCGAGTGGAGTTGCCTATGCACAGAAATGAGATGCTAAATGGTATTGGACTTGGTACGAGGGAGATGCAGTCAATCTTCTAAGGGAACCTACTAATGTACTCGGGCTTAAATGGGCGGATTCGAAGCATAACGCTCACAGAGCGGTTCACACGCTCCGCTGTACTTTTTCATTGAAAGGAATGTTCAGGAATTGCAGGTGATGAAACTGCGCTTTTCTTCTTTGACTACTCTCTAATACATTCATATTGTGTAGCGGGTACGGGTTTTCGTTGTAGACGTCTACATAAATTTGGTTAATCTTTCTCTCTTCTTTCCTATGGCCCATCATATTCTGCCACCCAAACCGATGATTGTTCAAGGTACCTTATTAGGCACGGTTTCCAGTCCCGCATTTTGAATAATTATGTTCAATCTTACACTCTATTTCAGGGACCATTGATCTTCAGGCTGTGAAGCAATGCAGCTCCCGGTAACCCAGGTGGTAAAGGTATGCAAATAGAGAATAATAGCTTGTGGACAAGGTTAAGTCGGGTTATTTAGCTACAGCCTCCACTGTTCTCAGTCATTACTCTACTGTTATATAAGGGGCTTTTCCTCCGAAGAGTATAGCTCCATATTACTATAGGCTCTATAACCTGCTAAGGTATTGCACAATCCAACAACTTATTCTAGGTTAATACTTCACAACCTGAAGCCCCTCATTGCTTAGTAACAGCACAGTAGCAGGTCCTATCATAACAACCATCGAGTCCAGCTCCAAAAATAGAAGATCACAAGGAAGCACCACCTGCCATTGGCTCCCAACCCTACCTACCGACCAGATGAAACGCCGGATGGGATGAAGTGGCCTCCCAGCCAGATGGAACAGAGTGTGAGTGGTTTCAGGGCCAGAGGGAGGGGTTCCCGGGCGCGACGCTGCTGCAAGTGACCAACTAGTGCTTCTAAATCCGTCCGCATTAACCACCATTCTCTCCCCGAAGCCGGGCGGTTAATTAGGACGGTCAACCAGTGATCTGAAAATAGATCATGGCATCTGGTCAGCCTATCAGTGTCATTCCTTTTCCACCCGCCGGACGATCCCTCCAGTCGAACCCTTGGCTGAAGCGCCCACCCGTCACCCCGGGCGGCTAACCCACGATGAGACAGCCAGGATGCGGGTGATGGGCATGGAGTGTGCTTCTAAACTTGGCAACAAACAAATGAACATGCATGATGCGTTTTGATATCGATGGTGGAACAAGAAAGGTATCACCATCGCGCCCCCTGCTCGTGCAAGGCTTTTATATGGACCATCCGCCATGTTCAGACGAGGCTGTCTTAGAACCAGACTGGCAGCCTTGGAGAAAGCCTTACTTTGATTCTTTTGACAAAGTATCTTGATATGGTCTGTGCTTGGCGAGGTTGTTGCATCTTGCCTATTATACTCTACTAATTAACTTGACTTCTATTTTGTCTTGCCTGTTCCTCCAATCACCTTGACCTATCCTCTCTGCCCTGGCTAGACGTGCATCTGTCAGCACCGTGTCTGCTGCACCTTACCCTGCCTAGTCCCTAGATACCAGGCCAACCGTTGGAGCGTCTGGGGTACAAGCCTCCACCCTAGAGAGCTTATCCTCTGCCACTGTCATGTGTCATCTCCAGCTATTTTAAGGCTGAGAGTTGCGTCCTTCTATCCAATCATCCTCCATCTCTTCACCTCCGTCTCCACCATGGCCAGTATAGTCACCGGCCCTCTCGGTCGATTCCGTAAGAACGGATCCCACAAACGGCTGCACGAACGATGGGGCGACGTTGGCATCACCGTTCCCACCGAGGGCTCTTGGAACCAGCGCGACAACCCCCACCGATCATCAGACCGCAGACGACCCGCCTACGAAGTTCTAAGTCGAGGACAGGATAGTCCTGTCGAGGATCATCACGAATCTACACAAGCCAGTTCCTTCTCCGTCAAGGCGCTAAACCCACGCCGTCTTTCCATGCGCATCAGCTCCCGCTCCAAACCCACCACCGACTACCCTAAAGAGAACACTACCCCCACCGACCGTCAAACCAAAGCAGAAAGACGGGTATCTCAATTCACATACCGACCAATCCACCAAGATTATCCCACGGAGATGGCTGAAAAGGCTTCTCGACAGAGTCAGCACTCTCCCCGATTCAAGTACATTCCTACTGCGCCTCAGTATGCTGAGGAACTTGGACTCCCGACTTCACGTCGCTGGTCGAGTCAGCGGCATAGTGTGCAGAGTAGTTGTCCGAGTGAGGGGACGCGGCGGAGTCATCGCCGGTATCCTGATGCTGCAGAGGAATGCTACGATGATGAGTACTATGAAGAGAGGAGAGAGCGGTATGAACGACCTTTATCTACTCGACGAGATAGGAGCAGTGTGGACTTCTATAGTGCTGCTGCTAGTCGACGGGGCAGTCCGGCGTTGGGTCGCAGTGGGGGAGCCACGGAGAAGCGGGGCCGGTCTGGGAGAAACTTGACGACGGCGATGGTCCCGGATGCTGATGATATTTATGGATAATTAATGATTGTTTTGTTGTGATGTTGACCCGGTTTAGCGATGCATTACTAGTTTCATGTGTGACGGCCGTGATGGGGACTTTAGCACATCTGCATATATTTTTAGGGCGTTGGCGGATTTCTGGGCAAATTTCCGTTACATTTGGACTAGCCGTTAAATATAATATATTTATTGGTTTTGATAATTAACAACCGACTATAATTATCTCAATATTCATTACTAGTGATGCTTCGTAGCATTTCTTTAGATTACTAACACTCACTGCAACGCTGTCATAGCAGTAGCTAGTGTAGTAGCTAAGTACTTTGTAACATTCCGAGACTGAACTGACGTCAACCTGATGGCCCGCCCTCACCACTACTTTCTAATAGCATCCCCAGATAATTATCGCCTTCAAATTTCCCAGGACTCGAGTTCACAAAACAGAGGATAACCCAGCTGCAGATAAGATAAGAAAGGTCAGAATTAAACTCCATCACTCGTCGGAAGGCTTCCCGGACCAGGGCGAGACCATCAGGGCATGGCAGTAGTGATCAGGGCATGACGCCATCCCATCCGGCCATTCCACGCAGTCCATGACGCCATGTTCACGCAGTCAACATAGAACTTCATATATAAGGAAATATCTGTATACGTTATGAAATCGTCTTCTTTGCCTAAATAAATGATTATTGAGTTTCTTTCAGAGCATAGTACATATCAATTGATTCTCCTCTCATCACAATGACAGCCTCGGTATTTCAGCTTAAGTGCGGGATCAAGGTATGCATCAATTTATCACAATATTTGACATATATTTGTGAGTTTAACTGACCTTAATAGAATGATCCCTGGGGTAAGCAAGGTAAAAATTCGTTAGCTGGTGTTCTTTGCTCCAAGACGCCTGGTACAATTGAAGTGGAGGATGATCAGCATTATTCTGAGGTATGGCCTATTATCCTGCTTCTCAGAAATAATTATGCTAATTAGCTGTGACTAGATGTGGATGGGCACATATCCCACCGTCCCATCTCGTATCCTTGCTACAGGCGAACTCCTAAGCGAGTACCTCCAGAAGCACCCCGAGGTTGCGGGCGAAGGATACAAGAAATGGGGTACGGAGGTGCCTTTTCTCCCGAAGGTATATCTCTAACCTATACTATCCTCTTATAATCACTAACAACGTATTTGCACGAGTGAAGATCCTCTCCTTCCAAAAAGCCCTCCCCCTCCAAATCCACCCCGACAAGAAACTCGCCGAGAAACTCCATGAATCCCAGCCAGACAAATACTCGGATCCGAACCACAAGCCCGAAATCGCCATCGCGCTCTCCAACTTTGAGCTCTTCGTCGGCTTCAAGCCCCTGCACGAGATCGAAAACCTCTTCAAACTCGCCCCTCTCCAACGATTCCTCCCCACAGAAACTAACGCCCCTACCTTCGACGATTCCCTCCTGCGCGAAATCTCCCGTATCCTACTCACTCTTCCACCCATACTGGTCTCCGAAACCATCTCCTCCCTGCTCACCATCCCAGAGGCCCAGTTCGGCCCGAACCAGCGATATATCCCTGGCCTACTGACTAGATTGAAGAAGATGTACCCCGATACCGATAACGGTAGTCTTGTTGCCACAATCCTTATGAATTATATGACTCTCGGGCCTGGGGAGGCGGTTTGTGTGCCTGCGGATAGTATGCATGCGTACCTTACCGGAGATATCATGGAGTGTATGGCTAGGTCGGATAATGTGATTAATACGGGATTTTGTCCCAAGGCGGAGAGCGATGACGTGGATTTGTTTACGGGGTCGCTGAGTTTCACACCGCATGATGTGGACAGTGCGCTTTTGAGGGGGAAGAAGAGTGATATTGGGAAGTGTTGGAAGACGGAGGTTTATGAGCCGCCGTTTTCGGAGTTTTCGGTGCTGGGGGTAAGGCTTGGGAAGGGGGAGGAGGAGGTGCATAGGGGGGTTAAGGGAGTTAGTTTGCTGGTTGTTGTGAGGGGGAGTGGGTGGATGGGTGTGGAAGGCGAGAAGTTTGAGTTGAAGGAAGGGTGGGTTTATTTTGTGGGTGCTGGAGTTGAGGTAAACTTTGAGACGGAGGGGGGGTTGTTGGTTTATAGGCCTTTTGCCGAGTAGATTTTCCTCTTTCTCTCTTCTCTTTGTTCTGTGAGTGAGAGTGGGAATTGGGAGGTTGGTATTTGTATGAACGATGGAGATATGTGTCTATTTTAAGTCCGGCTAGCCCTACAGAATTAGCTACAGATAGGATATGCTATTTTCGTCCCTCCCGGGCCCTCATCGCGAATAAGCGCCCTCACAACATACTCCTTCCAAGCGCTCAGGCACCGCGACTCCACGTCTCTCATCCAATGGATCCCGTTCACACCTTATCTGGATGCTATTTTTGGCTTGGTATTTGCTTGTTCGTTCATCTCCACGAGTTGTGATGTGCGAGTCCCTGGTTGAGTGACAGGTTCGGTGAGATTAAAATAGATGCCGAGCGGGGAAAGGCACTTTTCAAGCGCCAGGATGGGATTAACTGGTGAGGTTGAGTAGTATTTGAAGTCGGAGGGTTCTCTGGTTCTTTTCGGTGGATCGGTCTGCATTCTGCTTTGTTTCGTTTTCTGGTGTGCTGTTTCATCGTTGTGCTGCGTGCGTTGGTGCTTGAAGCAAGCAAGAAAGTTGTTATCCATTCTGCTATCCACTCCACTCCACTTACTCCCTTCTATCCGTCATACCCACCAAGGGAGTATGCACGATGATCCTGCCTCGTGATGTATATCCTCGACAAGACTCATCATCGTCCGTGGAGTCCCCCTCGTCCGGTCGGGATCAGATTATCATTGGCGTGGTGTTTGGAGGAGTAGCAGCGATCATGAGTATGTTGTCACCTTACATCTATTCTTCCATCCTTCCTGTGCCATGATAGTTGGGGCTCGACACCATCTCACCTCACTCTGTCCTGCAAGTCATAAGCGCCATCCTCCTCATCCGATGCAAGAAACGAAGCAACGAACGCCGTCATCGTCGTCAGCAGCAACGTCTTCTCGCCCATCATTTGTCTCAATCCACCACTGGGTACTATCAGTATCATCCTGACTTGGAAGGAAGCAAGCCTCAGACCCCCGAGTACCCACTTGAGATCACCTCCACAGCACAGCAGGAACCTTCATCATGTCTTGAACAACAGCAACACCCCCCTCAGCAGAGGGTCATCGAGGATCCCCCGCCGGCGTATCAGCCCCTCCCTGTGTATGACCCCTCTCGATACCACGGGGTTGATGGCATGGTGGGTATCGCGGTGCCATATCCTGGGGTCACGGCTAGTATGTATCGGATGTCGGGATTGGGAATAGAGCCTCAAAGAAGAGTGCCAGATCGAGACTCGAATGCCTTCAGCTTTGCGGTCGAGGAGAGGTTGGATGTGCCGGTCAACAGGCCAGGTGGTGAGGCGGAGGAAGGTCAGTCGGTTCAACGACCTAGACCGGTGCTGTCACGCTTGGTGACGAATTTTGGGTAGGCTGATATAGTTATATCTCTCTTATGTTTCTATGTTGGGTGGTTGGCGTCATGGTTGGTGCTGTTGGGTGCTAAGGTGTTTGGGTTATGGCTTTCATGATGATGATGACGATGATCACGACGACAATGATGATGATTGCAGACTAGACTTGAGATGAAGAGATTGATGGAGAATGGTATGAAAACCCCAGGTACGTATCTACTATCGTCTTTTCATTCCTGTCTGTCCTTCTACTATTGTATCTTTTCTATTGCAAGTCGCTCTCTTCTCCCCTCATCCTAGGTGAACTGAGCCAGGATGGACCCCCGCTCCACCCAACCACAATCACTTTCTTCATCACCTACATATCTCCCGCCTAAATTACTGTGCCAGGCATGGTGTGATGAGCCAAGGAAGATTGATGAGTGACTGCCAAAGAATTAAGCGTGGAGGAGCCCGAAGGCGGCAAGCCACTGGGGGACCCCCTCCCTCCCCCCTCTCTCTTCCTCTTTTCTCTTCCTCCACCACCACCACCTCCTCCCCTTCCATCCCTTCCAACCCACAGCTCTCCCACCATCTTTCCCCTCTCATGTCTCACTCTACTGCAGCTAGACAATCGGCCGGACTCGACTGCTGCACGGTGACAAGTGACAAGTGACCACTACACTGGCCCTCGCGCGCCGTCTCCATCACGGCGCGTAGATAAGCTCGACGGGTGGTTCGGGCCCAACCGCGACGATCAACCGGTGATTGTCGCTGCTGCTTCCCCTCTTCTCCTCCTCCAGACCCTGGTTCCCATCGAAGCTTCTGCGCCAATCAATTTTCCGACCTCCAACCCCCCGGTTAGCAATGCTACGTCGGAGTTGGGTGCGGCAGTCGAGCTGTCGATTCGAGTCCAGCTGCTGCTACTACTGCTACTACGACAACTAGCGGCATTCCTCATCACGCTCCCTCTCTCACATCGGCAGGGATCTCGCCCATACTGTAGCCGCTGAGAAGTCCATTCATCACCCAGAACAAGGATTGCCTTGTGTCACACCCATTCCATCTCTCTCGCAGCCGCTGGATGGACCACGCTAAGGGAGGACTATCAACTACGGCTGTGGTTGGATGTCGCCAACTTCCCGGAGTCTGTTAGCAGCTCCCTCCGGTAGGCTGGCTGCAGGTTGCCTGCAAGTTGACTGCGCCGCTCAGCTATTCTCCCGACTGCTCTCCCCTCTTTTACCATCTCCAAGCACGCGGACCGGTTCTGCTCCCTGCTCCAGAGGCTCTCCCATGACCAGTCACTGCGTCGGAATCGTCATCCCGCTTACAAAACAAAGGGCGATCCCCCTCCGGTTGACTGAGACTTCTCCCACTGGCCGCGTACGCCCGACGGGTCTCCCCACCCAGGGCGACAAAAAGTCCGCTGTGATGGAGGGTGAACCATTCTGTCGGGTTCAGGATGTGTCTGCGCGCCTTTCACCGTCCGTCCCGTTCGCTGGGCTCCGATGTTCATCCCTCTTCGCACTGAGGGACGTTCCCTGAAGGAATTCAGCGTTGGTCCCTGAAAGGGTCTTTCTTCTGCCATCCTGTGGGCGATATGCAGCCGGCTTTCGGCCGATGGATTGGATTGTTCGGTGTTCATCCCCCTGTTTTGACACTTTTCCATGCCAGTCTTTCGGTGGCTGTCTGGTCCCTGTTCCTATCTTACTTTCCTGTTCTAGGCAGCTTCGGGACCGGCTCGTGGGGGCCTCTGAAGCAGAGGCACCCGACCTAAGTCAAACCCGTAGACAGCGGGCCCTTACATTTTAAGGTACCGTGGTTGGACTTGATCCTTCTTAACCTAGTTTTTCCTCCGAGTTCTTGGAGGGACCTGTGCGGTCGATGCTGACGCGGGCCCGGGTGCTCCAGCTCGACTACATTAAGGAAGGACGCTCTTGTGACCATGACGGCTATCATCCAAAAATTACGACGCAAGCGAAAGCTATCCTCAGAGCTGCACTCGCGATGGGGGGATGTCTCCATCACCTATCCTAACGGTGGGTCCTGGAGTCAATGGGATCAGTCTTCTACCGGCGCAACCTCAGCCTCTCCCGACCACGAGCGACGGCATGGCTCCTTAGAACTCAATCGATCCGCCACCGCGCCGAGGCTGGGGAGTTACAGCCGCATTGGGGATGCCAATGTGCGGGCGCCATCCGTGGATTCAGCCATGACGATTCCTACCGGCCATTATGATGCACGACTTAGTCGAATGCGAAGAAAAAACCAACAGCAGAGCCCTCCGGTCGGCGTGTCGAACGTCCTGGATTCTCCCCGCGAATGCGACCATGCATCGTGTTCAGACGAGTCCTCTGAAGATGAGGAAGACGACGTGGCCGTGCCCGCTCCTCTGAATGTCTCCCGCGACCACAATCCAGCTGAGAAAGAAGAAGCTGATGCCTATTCGCAAGCATCGAAATCGCCTCCTTTGTCGGTAACATCTCGCATGCGTAGTCGGCATAGCGCTCAGAGACACACGATGGACCCTCCGATGTCAGCACCTGGAACGGCCGGTTCGAAGCATACCAGCTACAGCTCTTCGGTGCCCTCGAATCCGTCGGACGACCAGCGACCGCAGGGACACAGTCTGTCTACGCAACATGATCGAAAATCGGTACGGCGCCCCAAGCCAGAGCCGCTGAGTTTACCGACACAACCTGAAATGGTGCCTTCGTATGATGAATTGTACGGGTAACTACCGGAATTTGGGGCAGGACCCATGGGAGGCTTTCTGTTTGATTTTTGAATTATGCGTATATCACTTGCGTGCATGCTTGCTTCACTTTGGGGATGGCAGCCACGGCCGAGCTACGCCGGACTGGCCTACTTTGTTTGGGTGGATGGGATTCTTAATTCAGCCGTGAGAGGGCAAAAGATTTAACCTGCATGCATTGTGGCGTCTCATTCCTTTCGGGAGGCGTTTTCCTTGATTTACCTGTTTATGCTTTGGCTCATTCGTGTGGACTTTTCTCATTACCTTTTTGGGGGGTGATTAGATTGTTGGAAATCCGTTCATGGTGTGAAAACAATTCCCAGCTAGTATGTTGGCGTGTCGCCGTAGGTGACAGCGACGGTCATCTTGACCCCAATCTATGGATTAGTGTGTCTACGTCCCAACAGCGGCAGCACAACTCCTCTCGAAGCGCCCATTAAGTTAGGGCGATCAACACAGGAGGGGTTGATGGATTCATTGGACAGCAATGATCCAAAATGAGCAGGTATGCTAATTAGTGGCAGTGGATGTGATAGGCAAGCAGCCAGTCACCCTGGGCCAATGCGGAGGCGCGAGTAAGCGCCGAACCCCGCGAGCAGGTCAGAGCTCGCCGCCAATCTGCGGCCATCACGGCGCATCACATCCACGGCTTGCCCGCAGCTCCATGCCACTAGCCGCCAATGAACGTGCATCCTGGCAGCGGCAGGAGTTGCTGCACTGGCCGTCACAATCACCGTCACACCTCCCTCAGAGACAACCCGCTTTCGCTGCTTCTGAGAGGCCCTCGAAGCGCCCGGGCTACTGCTCCTCACTGAGCTCGTTGGATCTTCCTCACCCCATCCAAGAGGCAGGCATGTCTGCCAATCCGGGACGGAGCGGTGCCTCCCCTCCTCGGCCCTCTGCTTTATCAATCCACCATGGCACCGATCCTGCCGTTTAACCGACGATCTATCTGGGTTGGGACCGGTTCACCTTCACATTTCTACCCTCGCTTTCCCCATCGTGTCATTCCCGGTTGTGCTCCCTCTCTGCCTCTTGCTGCACGGTGCTCTCGGCGCGGGATCTGTCGACCGCACTGTCTCCAGCCTTCCCTCGTTTGGTCGTAAGATAAAACGGTAGCATTGGGAGGTTATCGTGCCGTCTCCGACGCTCGATTTAACCAAAGCAAATACCAAGATGCTCGGCTCTTGGGGTCTAAGCCCCAGATCTACATCGAGATGGGCAGCGGCTGCCGCTGCGGCGTCTTTTCTACTCGTCAGCCACGTCGCACCCCCCGCGACAGCGTTGTACGTGAGCGAAGGCTCCCCATGCCGGGACGTCTGTAACGACATCACCAACACCACCACCTCGGAGATTGTCTGCATGGACGCGGCCTACAACGACACCACGACTGGCAAGAACTTCAAAGATTGCGTCTCGTGTGCGCTCAACAGTACCTACACTGATCCCAGTGGGTTGGTGACGGACGTGGACTGGGGATTGTGTAAGCCTGCTCCATGTGCGATCTAACACCTGTTGTTAACGTGGTTAGATAACCTCCGCTATGCGTTCAGCGCCTGTGTCTACGGTTACCCGGCGGGCGTCGACAGCGTCTCGTCGCAGTGCTTGGTTTCCTGTCAAGGACTTGACAGCGCGATCGAGTTCGACCTGCTCACTCCGAACGATATCAATCTTCGCGCCTGGTGCTCTACCTCCACGTTTGCCGATAATCAGATAGAAACCTGCGAGTTCTGCTACAACCTGACCGAAACGCAAGTGCTCATGGCAAATTGTGAGTCTCCCAGCCTCTTCTGCGCGAGTTTGACTAACTCAACGTTCCATAGTCATCGAAGCCCTCCGCTATGACTGCCACTTTCCCGTTCCATCCCAAACAGCCTTCCCGATCAGCCCGTCGTTGATCTTTGCCCAGGAACAATTACCTACCTATAGTAGCGACCTGCTGGACACGCCCAGCGGAGGCGGGGTGAACTATAAATTGGCAACTCTGATCGGCCTGCCGCTCATGGGTTTCGTGATTCTCCTTTTCATCTTGACTATCGGCTGCGTACTCGGCATCAGCTGGTGGCGGCGCCAAGAGCGCGAGGACGAGGAGTTGCGCCAGTGGAAGGCCATGGCGGCGGAGAATCCGTGGAGCGCGTACCCACCACCGGAGATGTACTCGCAGCCGCAGCAGATCACGCAGTACGGCTCGGGGTTCCAGGTCGTGGACACTGATGGCCGCACTCATGAGGTGGGGTACTCTAAGAAGGTGATGATGAATGTGTCGGAGGATAAGGGGAAGAGTCCGTCGCAGGAGTTTCCGGGGGAGTTGAAGCTGTGATGCGCAGTGGTGTCGGTAGTGCGGTGAAATGATGAAGTAACACCAAAGTGGATGAAATGGTGGATATGAACCATGTCTTTGTTGTTGTTCCTGTCATGTCATTGTTGATTTGTTTCGATGTGCATAATGAGGCATATACCCCCGCATTGCTGGTGCACATAATCTATGAGTATGAATAATGAGAGAAGCGAATACCAAGTTGTGAAACAATCGAACAAGAAACATGGGTCTCATCATGATAGAAGAAACGAACGAGTTGTAGTTCGGACAGATGAATTGAAGAGTATACACCACCCAAGGGAGCAGAACCGTCTATATCTCCGAGAAGTAGAAGGGAAAAGAAGGAATCACAAACCTGAAGACCTGCCCCCATACTTTATACCCCCTCCCTCCATCTCCATCCCGTTCCACACACTCACCCCCCTTCCCCCTCCCTACCAACCTAAATAAAGACAAAGTTACAAAAAAAAGACACAAAAGGAATAACCGCCCTCGGCATCCATCCTGCAGGGCCCATCCACTAGGATAAAGCTAGACTGACTACCTCCCACAAATCCACTCCTCCCGCCGAGAAAGAATAAAGAATGAAGAAGTTTCAAACAGATATGTACCAAAAATAAACACACACGGGATGAAGATATCATGGATCTGTGAAGGATTATTGGTTGGTGCTGTGACGTGCCAAGCTAGGGGAGCTGTTTGCCAAGATGTGATTGATGGGGGTTCGGGATTGGGTTGGTGTTGTTATTGGTTGGGAGGGAGGGAGGGGGGGGGACAGGGGGCGCTTTACTTAGGCTGTGATGGTGATGGTGATGGTGATGGCGATGGTGATGGGGTGGTTAGGCAGCTATTTTTACTCTGTAGGAGGTGGATGTTTGAGGGATGGTGATACTTATATACAAGAAGGAGGAGAGGGGAGGGGTGGTGGTGGTATTAGGGATCTGTATTTGGCGGTTGTAGATTAGATGAAATGAGTATATACATGTTCTTAGTATTTTTTGTCGGGGTGGAACGGTGTTTTAATAGGACTACTTGATTCTTCTAAGGTAGGGGTGCATGTGCATGGTACTATCATTAGTGTAGAAATGTAGTAGTGAACATGGCAGCTACATGGTTCTGTAGATAGAGGTAACCCTGTCCCCTATACTTAACATGCATTGTCCACCTACCTAACCTTTAACATATTGAGATGTGGAAGAAAGCTATCTGCTCACATGCTCATGAAAAAAATCCACATAATCAAAAATACTCCTCTTATACCTCCTCTCCCACGTCCCATCTGTACGATTCACACTCTGCATCCCATACTGGTTCGCATAACTTCCAAACTCGTTATTATCCAGGTAACTCCACGCCAACGTCCCAATCACATTCACTCCATCTTCGTGAATCGCTTTTAGCATCTCCTCTAGGAAGTCCTGGTAATACAGCGTACGCTCGAGATCATACCTCTGCGCGTCGGCCTCCTTTAGTGAGTCGTCGAATGGGTTGAAGCCGAATTCTGAGATGACTATTCCCGATGGTTTGAATGTGTTCCAGACGTACCCGAGTTGTTGGCGGACGTATTGTGGTGCGATGGAGGAGTAAGCGTTTGACATATCACCCATGAGCCATCCGTCGGATTGGATCATGGTTAGGGTAGCGCATTCGGGCCATGAAGAGCTGGATGAGTTGGCTGCGCAGGCGGAGATCCCTTCTGGAGGCGGGAGGGCGAATTGCGCGACGTAGGGGTCGAAGGCCCAGAAGTCGATGGTGTTGTTGATGGTGGAGAGTTGGGAGTCGGTCAGTGGTGTTAGGTTCAGGTTGGGCGTGTTGAGGACGGATGAAGGGTATTGTTCCCCTAAGAATAACGGGTTGGCCATGATACCCAGGATGAAGTCTTGGTATCGGAGGGCGGCGTCGACATGGCTGCTGTTGGAGGGGTCCTGGGGAACGGCGAGGTTGTTGGCGAATTTCATGGTGATTTGGCCGGTGCCTTGCAGTTCTTCTTTGTACCAGTGGTATACGGCTGCGTGGGCGGTTAGGACGTGGGTAAGGTCGTTGTAGGAGCTGAAGGCATTGCCAATGCCGATGTTGGGCTCGTTGAAGGTCACCCAGTAGGGAACCCGGTCTGCGTACCGGGTCATGACTTGCTTCGCGTAGTAGAGGAAGTTGTCTGTGAGGGTGGAGTAGTCGCTAGCTTGGGCTGTTGGGAAGTCGAAGTGGTTTAGGGTTACGATGGGGGTGATGCCGTATTCGTGACAGGTGTTGATCACGTCGTCGTAGTGCTGGAGTCCCTCGGTGTTGATGGGAGAGCCGGCGACGCCGAAGGGGACGATTCGTGGCCAGGAGATGCTGAATGAGAGGTAAGGGATGCCGATAGCAGCTAGTCTGGCGATGTCCTGTTTGTACATGTAGTAGCCTAGGTCGGCTATGTTGGCATCTGACGAGTTGTCGTCACTCTGAATAGCACCAATGGTGTCTAGAATAGACGGGCCGCGGCCTTCAAGTTTCAGGCCTCCTTCGATCTGCCATGCGCTGGCTGCGACGCCCCAGATGAAGTCCGATGGGAGCTTCAGATCTGCATAGTCGACTCTGTTGTATAGAGTAGGAGGGTACACCAGCTCGCTGGAGGGAACCGGTGTAGGGGAGACGGTAGTTGTGATTGGGGGCGCCGACGTATACGACAGGTTAGCCCACAATGCAGCATACGCACTCTGGCCGTACTGTCCGTCTGCAGAGGGAGTTTGACTCGACTGCAAAGAATATGTGGTATAGGTCACGTTGTCAGGAAGCAGGGTTGACGCTTCACTAAATGCCGGAGCAAAAGGCGTAGGAAACGACAGCGGGGAACTCAGTGAAGTAGCATAGCGAGTTGAAGTGACCTGCGTATAGGTAAAGGAACTGTAGGAGTATGAGGTTGCTCTTGTCGCCTCGGTTTTCTGCGTCACAGGCGATGCACAGGCGAGCTGGCTGCTGCCAGCTGCACCAAAAAGCACCAGCAAGGTGAGAAGATCAGTCATTTTCAACGAAGAAAGCTCTCGATGCCTGACCCCAGTGACCTTTCTGCGTCATAGCAGTATGCCTCTGCGCTTTAAATACTACTTCCGTCGCCATTTCTGCCGGAACTGAACAACGGCAGTTCTTCGGGTAAACTGCTTCTCACAAGCTTTTGAATGGTACTATCTGGCTATATCCAATGTCCATGCGCTGTCTGTTCCCAATAGTAACATCACGTTCTGCGGAAAATATGTTGCGGCAATGGATACGGGATGAGGAGCCGGGGTGGAGGACGATCCCCCACAATCCCTGACGTCAAACCATGAGATCTGGGGTTGTTGCAAAGGTAGAGTGTGGGGTACTGCATCGGCACAGGCCTCATGGGCAATATCAGGCGAGAAGCGATTATTGGAGGATTCGGAGGTCTGTGTCGATTGGGACGGCATATGCGGGGTTGAAGTCGGGGTAATGAGATTGAAGAACAAGGAGACCATGTGGCCTTGCCTGGAATACTCACGTATATCACGCCATAAACCTAGATTATGACTTTCGCTATAGGGACGATTAGTCTACTGATGAATTACTGGGAATAATTCGAATATGTGTTTGGGCGTACCGACCAACTTGTTGGGCTATCATCTTCAGTATTCCTTTACAAGATGCATTGACGTTGACCTCATACCATTTATGATAGCATCTTCTGGTATCTCTTGCCTCGCTGACAGGGATCAAGTTAATCGTCTTTCCACTGCCCGGGAG